CAGATTTTGGAATGTTTAGGATGTCCCCCCAAGTTCCTTAAAATGATCATCTCACTCCATGAGGATCAGCATGGCCAAGTCAGATATGGTGATGCACTTTCTGAACCCTTTCTAATTACCAGTGGTGTGAAGCAAGGCTGCGTTCTTGCACCAACCCTATTCACAATCTTTTTCAGCATGATGCTCCATAGGGCCACTGCAGACCTCGATGATCAGGATGGTATCTACATCCGATACCGTACTGATGGAAGCCTATTCAACCTAAGGCAACTGAAGGCCCGGGCCGGGCCGGGGCCGTGCGGGAGCTCTGCCGCTCCTTCGGACACTACAACCGGCACCTGGCGCGGCTGCAGCACAACCTGCGCGAGACCAGGAGGTTCTTCCGCGACGTCAAGTTCTCCCAGGGACACCCCTTCGCCCCGGAGGCCGCCGGAGACGCTCCCCACGGAGGGGATGGGGATGGGGAGCCCGGGGACGACCCCGCGCCCGGCGGTGAGAGAGGGGCCGGGAAGGGCTGGGGGCTGGGGGGGAAAAGGGGGCCGTTCTGGAGGGGAATGGAGGGTTCCTGGGGTGAGGGGTCAATAGGGGGGGCTTGCGAGGGTTGGGGGGCAGGTGGAAGGCGATGGAGAGTGAAGGGCTCTCATGGGGGGCTCTCTTATGGGGTTGCTCAATTTATGGGATTTAGTGGGCTGGGGGTGCCTGCGGAGAGCTTGGGGCTGTGAGGAGGTTGGTGGGGTGAAGGGAGCAGGGCTGGAGGGGTATTTAGGAGGGTTTCAGTGGATATTACGAAAAGATTCTTCCCCCAGAGGGTGGTCGGGCACTGACCAGGCTCCCCAGGGCAGTGGGCACGGCCCCAAGGCTGCCAGAGCTCCAGGAGGGTTTGGACAACGCTCTCAAGAACAGGGTCGGATTTTAGGGTGTCTATGCAGGGCCAGGGGTTGGACTGGATGATCCCTGTGGGTTCCTTCCAGCTCGGGATATTCCATCCTTCCCTCTCCCAGTTTTTCAGCTCCCCCTTGCCCGGGTGTCAGGAAGAGGCAGCACCTGGGAGCGGGTGGGATGAGGGGTTGCTGTTCCCTGGGCTGTGTTTTTCCCGGGGGTTCCGTGGGAACAGTGGGTTTCTTCAGCAGCTCCCTGGGCATTTCTGCTGCTGTTGACAAACAGAGCTGCGGGTGGGAGCTCTCCTGCCACGTGCAGAACTTCATCTTTCCATAAGACTGTCTTGTGAGAGGAGACTTTGGCGTGACATGGAACCTTCATAAAGATCTTCTTCATTCATTTCCAAGCGGCTCATGAGTCATCTCTGTTGGCTACTTGTCCAGGAGACTTGTCCCTTCTTGTCTCACCCTCACAGTTGTGGTTTGCAGATGGAAGTGTTGGGATCTCCTGTCTGTCTGTGTTTTTGAAAAAAAAAAAAAATCAGTGTTGAAACCCCTGGGTTGGGTCTGGCTGGCTGGGAGTTAATTTTCCCCATCTGTGGGGCCATGGGTTTGGAGCTGGGAAGGTGTTGGGAAGACAGCAGGGTTTTGGGAAGTGCTGAGTAGCTTCTCCATGCTCCCCCCTCACACCAGGCTGGGAGGGAGCCAGATTTTTGGGAAGGGGCACAGCCAGGACAGGTGAGCCAAAGGGACTGTGTGGTGGGTGAGTTTGGGATTGTTCAGCCTGGAGAAGAGAAGGATTTGGGGTGACCTAATTGCAGCCTTCCAGTGCCTCCAGGGAGTCGACAAGGAGGATGGAGAGAGACTATTTAAAGGGGTCTGGAGTGACAGGACGAGGGGGAACAGCTTCAAACTGCCAGAGGGCAGGGTTAGATGGGATATTGGGAAGGAATTCCTCCCTGGGAGGGTGGGGAGGCCCTGGCACAGGTTGCCCAGAGAAGCTGTGGCTGCCCCATCCCTGGAAGTGTCCCAGGCCAGGTTGGAGCAACCCAGGCTAGTGGAAGGTGGCCCTGCCTGTGGCAGGTTAGAATAAGATGATGTTTAAGGTCCCACTCACTGCAGCTGCTCTTGTGTTTGGTTACTCCTTGGAAAACGTTGCTGGTTCAGCAGCAAGTGCATCTTTTAGACGTGGGGGCATCATGAATCCAATATTCCTGACATAGGTACAGATCCCAACAGATTTCCTGCCTGTTGTTTCTAACCCAGAGCACTTATAACCTTCTTTTTTTTTTTTATTCAAATCCCTACTTTGACCCAGTTTGACCGGGTTCAGGGCTTCAGGGGAGGTCTGGCTGTTCAGAGCTTGGTTGTGCTGACAGTGCTGACAGTGTGGGCTCCTGGCTCAGGATTTTGGGCTCCTGGCTCAGGATTTCAGGCTGCAGAGGTTGTCTGGCTCTTACTGCTCTGCAAACTATGGATTTAAGTTTTATTTTCAAACTGGTGACGTGGGACAAGGATCAAGTGAATAAACCTGCTCTGGGTTAGAGGGTGGGAGGTTGTGGTGGGAAGAAGATGAGGAGCAGGACCTGGTAAAATAATGGACACAACTGCAAAATAACTGTGAATTAATGATTATTATTTTTTTTAAGCTCTGTTATTTTTTTTTTAAGCTCTGGGAAGTCACAAGCCTTTGCCCAAAACCCAGAGCTTTGGCATTGCTTATTAACTTCCTGCCTGAATAACCCAAGGTGGTGGTTGGAGAATCTTTATTATATTAATAATAGTATTAATTTTCTTTATTATAACAAGAGCTCCTTGTTTCTGTACAGTTTAATGGTGTTGGACATTTCTGGTGTTCTCTGAATTGTGGTGGCTGGTAATGAAAGTTTTTTTCCCCTGTGTAACATGGAGAGTTTTTTGAGTGTCAGAGGGTTTAAAGAGCCCAGTTCTCATTGAATTCAGAAGCCCTTTTTGCCCTTCAGGTGGTATCAAAGTGAGAGGAATTCTGACCAAATTGTTCTGCAGACTTTTTGTGAAACACAAAGGACCTGGGGATGGAGTGGAGTGGACAGGACACACTGCCCAGGGCTGGAGTGGAAAATAAACTGTGAAAAGTAAATGCAGATGTCCTGGAAACAAAACAAAGTGAAGGGTTTGCTTTTGAGGCACCTGAAAAACTCGTGGAACAGCCTGGAAAGGGAAGTGGCCTCTGGATCAAGAGCTGAAGCCCAGCCTGGGTTACTCTGCCCACAGCCAGGGCTGAGGATCTGCTGAGCTGGGGTGAGCTGGGTCAGCCTGGGCTGGACTTGTGGGAGAAAGAAATCCTCTTCCATCCCTCCCCTCTGCTCAGGAGGGTGACAGCAAAACCCATCAATAAATGACTGTCACTGACCAGGCTGTGGTGGCAGCAGCAGGACTTACACCTCATAGTGAGAGAAGTGAACTCAATCCAAGGGAAAGAATAATTTGCCTTCCAGCTACTGTTTATGAGGGAAAGGCAAGTCTGGTTTGCTCTGTCTGCCTTTCTGAGGGAGTCAACAAAATCCTGTCTGTTCTCTGGGGCTGCCTTGGCATGAATTGGCATCTCAGAGTGATTTGTTCAAGTGCTGGGACAATCCTGCAGCTTCAGGTCTGGCAGCTTTTGGTTCTTGGTGCTGATAACTGGCGTGTTTGCTGGAAAAACAAACCCTGGTTTAGGGACTGGGCAGCAGGTTTTACTAAAATATGTAAAGATACCAAGGAAGAAGTCCCTCAGCCCTGCTTTCTGCTAATTGGGGTTGTTTTCTTTGTTCTGTGCTTGCAGTAATTGGAGCTCTTTGATGTATGAACCTGAGAGGTTTGGTTATTTCTTTTATTTTAGGAATTTCTGCGAGCTGAGCTAACCCCAAATCTAGAGCATCCCCAGAGGTGCAGCTGGAGTGTTGCACCAGTGGGGTGTGATGGGGGAGAGCCCTGGGCTCTGCTGCCTTCATAAATAAGGGGGTTTTATAGGGATGAGATCACATGGAACCCCAAAATGGTTTGGGTTGGAAGGGACCCAAAAGCTCATCCCATTCCACCTCCTGCCACGGGCACGGACACCTTCCACTAGTCCAGAT